CCCCCACACCTGTTTATTTATTTATTTTGCCATGCCATCATGTCAAAGTGTCACTTTTGTCCTCCCATAGTCCTTCTGGCTCGACTACCATCACCATTGTTATCATTAATTACAATAACTCAGTAATTCATTAATATATATAATCCTGTTGTAGATCACTACACTGTTATTGTTATAGTCAGCCCTGATACTGATGTTGCCCAATTGTTCCCGGTCTCTCTCTCTCCACCTCATCTCTCTCTTCTCTCCCCTGCTTTCCACCCATCTCTCCTRTCRTCCRCCCTTACTTTTCTTTCCTCACCCCAACCGGTCGAGGCAGATGACCGCCCACATTGAGCCTGGTTCTGCCAGAGGTTTCTCCCTGTTAATGAGGGAGTTTTTCCTCTCCACAGTCGCCTGTGCTTGCTCATTGTGGGAACTGTTAGGTTTCTCTACATTAATATTGTTTTAAGGTCTTGACCTTTAAATGTAAAGTGCCTTGAGATAATGTAAATTATGAATTGGCGCTATATAAATAAAATTGAATTGAATTGAATAAGGGGTGGTGCAGCAGGCAGGACACAACATATAAATTGTGGCATGATTTATTTTACAGTATAACGTGACCCACGCAAGATGTATGCTCACAATAGAAGTTTTTTTTTTGTAGTACCTAGACAGTAGTATGTCTTTTCGGGGAAAATTGTGCTGGGGTTAAATTCCAAAACTCAGTATCAGACCCATGTACAGTATGTAGCTTGGCAGCAGGGGGTGCTTTGTTTCTCCCCAGCTACCCTTTTTGCAAGCGCACTCGTTTCCTCATTCAACAGAATGAAGCTGCAACCTAATGGGAGAAAACTGTGTCGCTGGTCTGAATTTTCTCTTTTGTCTTCAGGTCAGAAAAATTAATAACTTGCACACCGTTGTATACATTCCACTCAGTTCATGTGAGACATGAGTTTGAGAAGTGAATGTGCTGACTTGTTTAGTGTTTGGTGGAGCATTGAGGAAATTGTTTCTGCCTCATATTATATGCAGCTAAGAGGGCGCTGAAGAGGAAATTGCAAGCTTACAGCTCATGTTAATTTACCATACCCAGTAAGAGACTGGGGTGCACTTGTTTATGTACCAGGAAACATGGCGGGACAGAATGTTTGTAAGTATGAAAATGTACACTGTAAATGGTGAAACTGCTACCTCAGCTGAAGACTGAATGGATGTTTGTAAGCCTTTTGTTCTCAATGTGAATTCAACCGACAGAAAATGTTGATTTAAAGACATAGTAAAGAAGAGAAGATAATTTAGTTTACCCTGTTTAATGAATATTTGCACTTATTTTGAAAGAGTATATTTGAATGAGATTCATATTTTGGAAAATAAAGATTAAACAGAGTGAAGTTGCAACGTAACGGGAGAAAACTGTGTCGCTTGTCTGAATTTTGTTTTATCTTCAGACAAAAATATCTGTCTTCCGGGTCTCAGCCTGAGACCTGTATCAATATCAACACCAGCGTTGGCCCTTATCACCAAAAACTCTTTTGACATTTTTGTCTGTCTCTTCTATGTGTATGAAGACACATCATCAACCCCCCCACTCGCTTACGGATGGTCTTCTGCTATTTTCTAATCTGGCCTCATCTGGAGTTTCTGCTGACTTTATACAAGGGAGCCAGACAGAGAAAGTCCACAGAAACTCCAGAGGCTCTCACCTGGACATTTACATTCACACGTGGATAAACTCTATAGGATCTCTGGAGGTCAGTGCATTTCTGAAGGCAGCTTTACTGTGCGAGTGATGTTCTCCTGAGACTCAATGAGGTCTGCAGCCTCTCTGGCATCATTTCATCAGATAGTTTTATATTATAGTATTATATATAAACTGCAGCTGGTCTTGCAGCAGGACTTTACAGTTCATTAGATTTGCTCTTCAGGCCTGATCTACTAAAGGTTTGCACTTGAAAAAAATGTGTGCAAACTTGATTTCACCCACAAAAAAACATGATCTACTAACAGTGTGCACTGAGGACTGTGTGCAGAATAACATGCACTGTTCATTTGGTACATTTGCCTTAATGTCACACAAGATATAGCACTGACCAGGTGCCTGGTGTGCGCTACAATGGCCCAAGTATCGCACCTGAGTGCTCGTGCCAGAGGACACATGCAAAATTATAAAAATTAAGTTCATGAGGGAAAAATGGAAATAGCGCCAGGGTGGAGGGTTTGTGGGGAATATTCTCATTTACATATTGACATAGATTTGGTCGATGTACAACCGAGTGCTAGGGTCCTTTTCTCTGGACCCTCGTTCTTTTCAAACACACACACACTCCTGCAAAATATTGATCAGAGGCATTTCTTCCACCAGCACCCCACCTGTTTTCCCAGCTTTTATTATGATTATTATTATTTTTTTCTTTTGTTCTTCTTCCTATGTCCTGCCATCGTCTCTTAATTTCATCCATTTTTGTTTTACCCACAATATTTACTTTCTTGCAGATACTCTCCCATATGGCGCTTCTTTGAGTTATATTATATACATGTTTGTTTGCCTCTTCCACTAACACCTCCAATTCCATGGCATTAATTTTCATTTTGAGCTTGCGGTCCCTCTGCTCGCCGTAATGCTCCATGGCGTAAACCAGTAACACATGCAAAACACTTATTTAAATAACACTGCCTCTACCATGTTTGCACCTGTTATCATTTGCGCAATTATTTTTAGTAGATCACCTGCAAAACGACCACCAACCAAATGTGCAATCTGTTATAGTTTATTTGGGATCTTAGTAGATCAGGCCCTTGAGAAAGGACATTTATAAAAGTACATTTATAAAAGTTCACACACACATTATATTAAACGCATTATATCCTATATATTATATATTCTAATATATATATGTAAATAAAATTCAGATAGGTGCTTTCTTCATTAGAAAACGTTGGAAACCAAAAGAGATCTTCATGTGCCAATGGAGCAGCTCTTTTGGACTAACAAAAAATAAGTTCTCCAGTGCTATAGTTGAGTGATATCTCTATGATGTCATCCTCGATTATTTCCCCTTGTGGGGTGATGTTGTGCTCTGGAGGACTCTTCTTGCAGTTCAGCCCTGTGAACGGGCTGCACCAGGACAGGGAGAACGGGCCTCCAAAGGCCATCTGCATGGCCTCCCAGCAAGGCACTTTCACCCACTTCCCTGTTTCGCCCTTCAGACGCTCGATTCCCTGGAGAAGACACAATGAGTCTATAAGGTGAAGGGAGCTGAGCCACAAGGACTGACTGTGAACCATCTACATACAATTAATCACACATGACACAGATGACGGTAGTAAATAACTGCAGCAACAAAATATGGTTTAGAATGTAGGCTAGGTTCTCAGACACATGTGAAACTAACCACTTAACGACTAAACGTAGCATTGATAATTAATTTATTTAACAGGCATAAAAAGGGCTATAATACAAATTTGCTACATGTATGTTGAAAATAATTTGTTCATAAATTTATTCTGTGTTTCCACTTTGGCCAAGAGCAATCCTGTCCTAGAATGACTACACTGAAAAAAATGAGGGACAAAATTTGTAGTTTCAATGGTCCAATATAAAAGTATGCATTACAATAAAGAATCTTGATCTGATAAGGGTGCTAGATGGTTTAAAGGGATCATTACAGATGTTGCAATTGGGGAACATGAACGTCTGACCCAAATTTAACAGTAATCAACCCATAGGTTTCATTCAAAATATCCTCCTCATGAAGGAGTTACTAGCATTTATTCAAATATATAATTTGATATACCACTTGTGGTCTGTCATTGCTAAGAAAGAAAGGTTTTGAAGGAAGAAGGAATTTTTGAGGAATACTAAGATGATATTTTATTCAAATTCAGATAACCGCTGTTAAAATATTCTAAATGATAAAGGCTTGAGTTGTAGGTCTTTTAATTAATGTACTGTTCATCACTGCTGCCTTATGTAATGAAGCTAACATAAAATTGAGGAAGCAAGTTGAAGGTTTCAGTATGTTGCAAGGGCTGTCTTGTAATGAATTAGAACAAAGTAATATTATTATAATGGCCCTTTAAGATCACTACCTGATTTATTTCTAATTTAGACCAGAATTAATTCTAAGCTTTTTTAAGAATTATGCCCAACATTTATTCAAAGCACAAAACTGCTCACATGCACTTTAAAAATAAGTAATAATGGGATCAAGAAACCATATAAAATATTTAAAAATATAGTAGAGACTTCATAGAGCTGACTCATTCATAAATATGTTTGATTGAATCTGAAACTGCAAAAAAAGACAAGTAATAAGAAGTGCACTTTGACCTCTTGATTGAAATCAGCATGCTTGTGATGTGTTAAGCTTGATGGAAAGTCTAACATGAGCTCTGATCCAAGCTTACCTCTGTCAATGTTTAAAGAGCTCTGTGCTTCAGATAGCTTTTGGCAGAGTGCATTATCAACCAAAGCAAATGCATGAGCGTGGAGAGAACATTGGGGGATTACAAACAGTTGGAGGAGAATAAAAGACAGAAGGGAAATTTAACAATGAGTGAGAGGTAAATGAGTTTGTGGGGGAAAGTAATAATCAATTTTTTAAAACATTATTTGAATATTGAAAAACACAGCTGTTCACAGTCAAAGTGAAACTATTCAAATAAAGTGAGCAAACTGTTTTTGCATTTCAACTGAGAAGCATTTATTCTCTGCTGGAAATATCTCCAGGATATTTGGAAATAATTCAAATTTCTCCACAGCGCCCCCCCACCAAAAAAAAAAAGATTCACACAATATCATGTGAATAAAAAACAGAGGAATGAAATGCAGAGGGCAGTTCCCACAGGTGAAAATCTTAAATAAGCTCATAAGCTCTATGCAGAAGTTTTGTACACAGCTTCTCTTGAACAGGATTTAATACTTTTCTCCAGCAGAGATAATTGTATAGCTAAACACAGAGAGAGAGAGGGACAGACAGAGAGAAAGAGATCTGTGTTACTGCAACAGTCCAAGCTTTTCTACGAAAATACAAAAAAGGGGAGAATACGGATACTGCAAGTTGACATTTGTATTTTGCACAGACAAAGCCATTTCATTTCCGTAATTAACAGTGCAACAATGATTCAACAAAACGAGCAAAGCAGGCTGGAAAACTGATTTTGTTTGATGGGAAAAACTAAAACAACAAAAAGAGACATTTTTATCATTAATCAAAATGATTTACAGCTGTGGATGAGGCGGCGGCTCAGGGAGCACCTCTAGCTGTGCCTGGTGGGTATTTGACAACTGTCACAGAGGGAGACAGAAATGCTGCACACAGGATCGGGTTAGACGTCCTCTGAGAGCCATAGACAAAAGAACGGAGCGAATAGCCAGCCTGTGTCCAGCATGAAAGAGATTTTTAAACACAAAGTTATGTGTCCAGTGTGCTCCATACTGAGAAAGTTGACCGTGGTAACCTCTTGGATTACAGCAGCCTTCTATGAGTTTTTCTTTTCATTGCTAGGGTAAGACCTTATTTCATAAATGCTGTGTATTCTAAATTGAGATGGATCAATCTGAAGTGAGGCATCAAAATCAGCGATCTCTCTGATGATCATTTATGTAGATGTGACCTATCTATATTAAATAGTTTCATATACCTCTATTTTTGCTGTCAGTTACAGCCATTCAACGTTTAATGATATTTTGCAGTTGTGAACATGTCTGAGCAGAGAATCTCCCACTGTGTTGTAAATGTGTCAAAGAAAAACTCAGGAAACCCAAATGTCTTAAAAACAGCTTATGTAATCTGAGCAACAGCTCAGAGTCATGGCCGTTGTGCAGTTTTCATGTATAGAGAACACAGCCCATCAATCTCTCACTGCATAGCCACACTCACTAAACTGAAACAAGGCCCAACAGTGTTTATGATCCCTGGCTTCCTGAACAGGAGTTGCTGTCACTGAAACAAACACGGCAAACTCCTGATATACTGTATATATTTTTTGTATAGTTTTTTTGCTAAATAATAGATGTACTTAAACGCTGTTTTTTTGAACAATGTTTGATGCTCAATCAGTGTAAGAACGGGTTTTCTGGGCAGAGGCCCTGTCACACCTAGTAATAACATCCATCATGAAAGATTCAATCACAAGTGGAGAGTGTTAAATACGTGTCACAATTTACATAAATGCATAAATATGTCTCCTGTGACCACTTGCATTAAGATCTCTCTTTCCCACTCTAAATGCAACTAATTATATACATTGTTTTGGTTCACATTTTTACCCAGGCTGGATATGCAGATGTGACTGCGTCTGTGGGTTGGTGTGAGCAAGTGAGCAAGAGGTAGGGAGGAAGAGTCTGGAGGGGTTGAATTAATCTCATGTAGCTGTGATGTGTTTATCAATTCAAGGAAAACATCAATCCTTATGTCAGTTATTATCAGTGTTGATATTTTTGCTGTTGCTTCAGACAAATGTACAGGCACTGAGTGTAAAAATGTTAGATTCTTTATTAAATTTTAAAATTTAAACTCATTGTGAAACTGTCGTAGCTAAGATGAGTATGCAACCCTTCCTATGTGGCCCAGAATGCATTTGCTCTCATATAGCAATAAAAAATTGATCACATGCTTCCCAGACCACCTCCACAGTTGGCTTGAGTGATCAGATCTTAGGATGCATTTAGTCAGTCAGTGGCATCATCAAAATGATGTGAGGTAAAATAGTTGCAGCGGCCTTATGTCACTTTGAAAAATTCACAAAAATTATTTATCACTTACCTCTTGTATGTAGTTTGTGATGTTTCTGAACTTTAAAAAAAGCAAATTATATTTATTGCCAGAAGCAATGTCCTGTTTGTTGTTTTTTTTCTTCTTTGGCAGTAAACGTAATATATTAAGGGAAAGGTGGTTAAAAAAAAAAAAAAAGCTGAAATAATGTCTAAAGGGAAAGCAAGAAAAGACTGAAAGAGACACACAGAGAGAAGGTCAGAAAAAAACAGATTAATCACAGTGTTTGCAAACAGGATACATAAACTGAAAGTTTCTTTTTCTCTGCGACTTAACAACACAAAACTGAAAGTATAGCGCACTTAGTTTGGCAACACAAAGAGATGAGAAGCTGTCCATGATCCAGAGTAAACCGTGTTCAGCATTGGGAGCAACAAAACGGCAAATGTCTGCTCTGTGGGGTTGGACCGTGCCTCCCACATTGTTTCTGACACAGCTGCCTTGTTCCCTGTGCTGAGCTTTCACACCACATACTGGTATGTCTCAGCCTTCCCATGGTCAGGTGTGGAGAAGGGACTAAACCACAATAAGGAGAAAGGGTGTCCGAACACTGCCCTCATGTTCATCCATTTAGTTTTTTTAGCCCATCTTCTCTCTTCCTTTTTCAACTGCTCTATACCCTGAAAACGAAAGATAACCAAACTTCAGTAGGTGTGCTTTTGAGACCCTGTCAATAAATCAAAATCAAAATATCACTTCATTCAAACAGCCAAATATGAGGAAAGGGAATAATAAATTATCCTAGTCTTAAAACCATCTGAGCAAAGAACCAAGTAATTCAGCCCTCAAGTGATTTATTTATCTACAAGGATACTTCTGTTCACTTGGGGGGGTTGTGTCTTAGGAGGTCCAGCAGGTCATCCAATAACCATAAGATCCCCGTCTCCATGTACCTTGGGCAAGCTACTAAACCCCAAATTGTCTCTGTAGGCTGTGCTGGCAGTGTACGATTGATACATGATAGCCAAGTGCTGCACATACTGTAGATGCACTGTGTGAATGCGTGTAAATGGGTGTATGACAAAACTGTACTGTGAAGAGTTTTCAGTGACACCACGACAATAAAGCTATAATACCTTTTCTGGATAGTTACCAAATACATTAGTAATTTCTCGACTAAGGCTGGGTATGGTCAGTGATTTCCCAAATCGATTCGATTCAGATTCACAAGGTCTTGATTTGATTGAATTTTCATTTCGTTCAATATATGGATTCAGTTCAGGATATTTCATTGGAAAATACCAATTGTAATTGGATATGACAAATATTCTTAGAAAATTTAAGCTGTAAATTGTACAAGGAAACCTCTCACTTGGTGCATTATAAAAAATATTTAAGGCTCAGTGTGTAGAATTTAGCAAAATCTAGTGGTGAAGTTGCAAGTTGCAGCTTAATACCCCTCACCTCACCCTCCCCTTCCAAACATGAAAGAGAACCTGTGGCATCCTTCAGTTATCATAACAACTAAAGTTTAGTTTGTCCAGTCTGTAACTGTGAAAAACAGGCAGCCTCCATAGAGAGGATCAGCTCCCAGTGTAAATATAACGTATTTAAACAAAGGGCTTATTTTAAGGTAAAGAAAAGAACAATTTGTACAATTTAGATGAAAAACACTAGTGAAAAAATTACTAGAATTATTAAAAGTTCAATTTCTGCCAATAGAACCCTTTCACCTAAATCTTACAAACTAGACCTTTAAGGCAGGCCTGTCACACACAGCAATTTTTGTTAGACAATATATTGACCCAGAAATTATTGCAATAAATGACATTTTGTCATAATTTTGAAACCCTTTTATACCCACACAGGAGACTCTGACAGCGTACAAAGCAACCGGTGCTTCTGCCCTGATCCTAAGGGTCTAATCGTTTTGGATTGGCAGTCCATCATGGAAACCCTGTATTCCACTTTCTGCTACTGTTTGACACATGTTTGACACATACTGCCTCATTCACATCAACAAGCTCTCCACTCTTATCTCTGCTTCACTCTTCACGTTTGTCTGTCTGTGTGTGTGTGTGTGTGTGTGTGTGTGAGAGTAAGTATAAACTCCGCCCCGCTCTCAGACATGACTCGCTAAAATGCACATAGACAGACCAGCTAAAGATTAGGTGCACTGTTACAACCAAGGACAATTTTTAGTTGCACTTCACAGATTTTTGGTCACATGTGAGCACTTTGGAGCCTTTGCGTATACATGTTTACGTTTATGTGACTATGGTTGGAATACTCCATGTCTTTTTCATCATTGTATATAAAACGTGGTATTATAATATATATAATTATTATTCTTGCCTTTTCAGAGTATTCAGGTTATCGTAATCAGAACATGTCATTTACTTAGTGGTTTCTTATTCAGGCTATTGTCTTAATCAAGTTTATAGCAGCATAATGGTGTACATGTAGTATGTCAAATACCTCTCAATTAAAAAAAGATAGGGCTGAGAAAAGATTGAAAGAGACTGTCTCCCTCCCTCCTCTTACCCCCTCTCTTTATTTAAAAAAAAAAAACAAGTGTTGGTGAGTATGTTTAAATATAATATGCATTAGAACCAAAATACCTAGAACAATAATTAAAAGCATTTATTTGCAGTCACAAGTGAAAATGTATGCTTAAGAAACCTGAGTTGATTCAGCAAAAACAGACTCAGCAAGTGTACAATTGAGTGACTGTACAATTTGTGATACAGAGAAAAATACCAGCAGCTAAATAGATGAAGAAAGTGAAGCAGGAAACATTGCAGACGACGACGGAAAACAGAATCGGAGAAGCAATACATTCCACATCCATTGCAAGAGTAGCGGAGGTTTATGTACGGTACATGTCTCTCTCACTCACTCCCTTTCCCCGGCCTCAAGTGATGTGCAGGCCCGGCGGCTTGTTTGCCGTTGTGGGGTCAGTGCAAGACCCTAAGCGTCAGGAGGTTAGTCGGGCTGCCGTGGTCGACGGAGGTCGAGCAGTTGTGCTGGTAATGATCCTTCTGCAGGTTCACCTACGGAAACCTTGTTACGACTTTTACTTCATCTAGAAAGTCAAGTTTGATGGTGTTCTCAGCACTCCGCCAGAGCCGTGACCGACTCCAGCGGGGTCAATCCGAGGACCTCACTAAACCATCCAATCGGTAGTAGCGACGAGCGGTGTGTACAGAGGACAGGGATTTAATCAACGCAAGCACATTCTCCATCCATTTATTCCCTGTCAAACATTTTCCAGGTTTTGCCAAGTTATCAAAAGAGGCATCGTGTATCATTGAAGTTAAAAATGAATTTTTACTTCTGTACCTAAGTACATTTCAGAGCCTGTACTTTCTTACTTTTACTTGAATAAAGGAGCTGAATCAGTACTTGTAAATAGACAAATGCAAGCTTCTTACTTTTTAGCTGAAGGACAACACAACTTTATTCTTGATATGAATTTGTTTTATTAGCTGTATTTAACTAACTTTCACACAACAAGCTGGTCAAACTGACTAATGACTAACTCCTCTGAGACTGAACGAACGCAATCTCTGTTCATGATCCATGTAGAATGGAAATAAAGGAGCAGTTCTTGTACTGAAGACTGTTGTCAACCTAACATTTCAGTGGATATCAATATATCAGGAATCTAATACAGTTTAACAAACTGTATGAGCAGCACAGGGAAGTCCTGCACCATACTAATAAGTTTTTGTTTTAAAACAGCGTTTTAAAACTGAATCAATGTCCGTCCACACAAGTGATTTGGCTTTGTATCACATGTAAATGTAAGGGTCTCTGACCCACATATTATCCTTTCTTCTGAGCCATTTGTTCTGCCTCCTTCACAAGTTCTTTGAGAGCATTCATCAGCTTGGAGCCTGAGTCCTCTGAGCCATAATAATCCCTGTCCATACTAACACACCTGAAAATGCGGATCAACTGACTATTCACGTACATTAGGCATGTGGGAGTAGGTGTTATCAAGAGGCAGATGTTCACTGTGAATAAGGAACAGCAGTAGTGCAATAGATAGAAACCAAATCACATCATGTCTACATCACAATCTGGAAGTTTTCAAACTAAAACAGGGCCAGCTCCAAACTGGTGATTTGCTTTCAAACAAAAACGTAGTTGTGTGGATGCGGCCTCACGCTACAAAGGGAGAAACATCACTTAACTGCAATGGTGTGAATCAGGGCTTTTCAAAGTGTGGGGCGCGCCTCCCCTAGGGGGCGCCAGAATTATTCGGGGGGGGGGCGCGATCGTGGTGATGTGACGTATTAAAAAAGAAAATGTGATGTGTTAAAAAAAGCACAGATGTTTGAAATGTGTAAAAAAAAAAAAATGATGTTATAAAAGTACAGATATTTGAAATGTGTACAACAACCATTTTTGAAGTATAAATGGAACATTAAGTATGGCAACAGCAAAAAATGTGGGGGGGGCTAACTCTAATCCCAGAGTTTGAAAACCCCTGGTCTGAATTAAAAGTGAAAGGTCAAAGATGTTAATCTTTAAACAGAGGGTGAATGTATCATGGAGAACATCGGAAAAGTAGCAGGACGTAAAAATGGATAGGAGGGGAGTGTTGGTCACTCAACAGGTCACTTACTGTCTCATCGGTACAGATGGAATGGACTTGGGTGCCGAACATCACAGAGGTGAAGATGAGGAAGAGGAGACCCTCAAAGCACAAGAGTATGAGGAGGATGACTGTTGCTGGGGGAGAGAAGGAGCTGCACTCTGGGGAGGCGGAGGGACAAGGAGAATGAGAAGTGAAAGGGCAAAGACGAGGATCATATGAAGAACCTACATTAAGATCAAAGAAACTACAGTTACTTTACTGTTGAACTACAAGTGTCAATACAAGAAGGAGGCTAAGGTTTTCAACTATTCAGTCTAAAGCCACACACAGGAAAAGATAATTATTGTTAAATAACTACTCCTGCTCCCGTGGTCAATACAACATCAATACTCATTACATCCATGTTTTGAAAGACAACACAAATAGCCTATGATAATGACGATAGCGCAGCACCGAACCAATCATGTGGCTGGAATAGAGTAACAGCCACGTGATTGGTCAGGTTAGGTTGCACAGACCATAGAAGTAGCAGCCGGGACCAGCACATGGGCTCTTGGAGAGAGATGTGGACATTTCTGATTCTCAGATGCATCACGATGCGGACCTGGACAGGACTGACTCACATTAAAGATCCAGTCATCTTGTACTATCTGAGTCTGCTTCCTCCTCACTCCCCCTGCGCTCACTTGACACTACCAATAAACCATCATTGATCAGAAGTTATTAGGACACGTACAGCACTGCTGTTTACTTTGTGTTTGATTCGCTTTAAAGTTGTAGCATGTTTAAACCTGCTACACATCAAAAGACTTAACATGACGCGCAGAGCCAGGACATCAGGGTTAAAGTGACCTGAACAATCCTGATTAAATGATCCGACATCATAATAACTAAATACCTGTGATTATCAGTTTGTGCGTGTAGAGGGACATACAGAAGCAGACGCACGCACGCACACTCCTGAAGACAGAAGAGAAGTTCTTCCCACAGACGATGGGGCAATGCAGTGTTTTAACTTCTTTGTTGTAGAAGAATCGCCCCAAAATGCCCCGTTTATCATCCAGGAACATAAATTTGAATTCAGCAGATTTTTATAAATGTGATTATCGATTCATGTGAAGGACAGAGATGAGCGCACGCACACGCACACACACACACACACACACACCTCTCACTTGTTGACCTGTGCAGAGTAATGTGCCTCAGTGCAGTGGTGCTGACTTGATTTGTATTGTGATATATAGATCGATATCAGAAAAAAGTTGCATAATAATGTTTGTGAGATGAAGCCCTGATTCTAAGCTCCTACCTTGACAAATCGTGCTCAGTTTTTATAACATCAATAAAGCAAATGCTGAATTAACTCTCAAATTTACAATCAACTATTTATTTAGTGCATCTTATTAAAAAAAATGTTTTAATCTGGGGTCAACCAAAGTGGAATCGGGCATTGTAAACAGACATTGTAAACCAAATACAAATAGTAACACATTTTTTTAAATTGAGATCTAAGTGAGTCAAACAGGAAATTGCAATGAAAACAGAATGAAAGTCTAAGGGTACTTCTTTATGAGTGGATAAACTTTCTTTCTATCTTCAACCACAATTACAATAGTAACAACTAGACACTAGGGATGCCACTGTGAAGAAATGTTCCCACTGGGTTATAAACTTCTGACAAGAATATCAGTGGGACAGACATGTCAGACTATTTGAGTTTGGCGGAGGTACAGTATGTGCTCTGCCATTCTCGTCTTTCTTTTTGTCTGAGTAAATAAGTGACAAGGTATCTTCACATCTTAAAACAAATATTAGTTTTTCCATCTCCTTTTGAGGTGAATCCATACAAATGTACTTTCTGAATGAACAAAAATGATATTTGGCATGTGTAAGACATGACTTTGATTTTTTTTTATTTTGGTTGCATTTACATGCAGGTGGACATGGAGGAGGACTCTGGTTTGATATATACATTTTCCTATGATATATTGTTTTTTCAATGACAATGGTTATTGTTGTATATATAATTTTGTAAGGCTTGATCATATTCATTATCATGCTTTATATCTACAATTACTGGTAATTTTGAACTTTCCGTATATTAATCTTTCCTTTTTCACCTGAAAATGAAAACTGAAAAAATGTGATTGGGTGGCTGACCTGTGGCCACTCTATTTAAGATGGCTTCTCATTATTGAAATATGTTTGCCTGATGAAGTTCTAGTACGGAAATGTTTCAGCATGTTGGAGCTCTTTTCAAAGTTTTTGATCAATTTGTCCCTCTTCTACGCACCTGTTTCCCTAAAATGGAGGTGTAATGCATTCTTTAGTTTTTAAGATCTCTAACACCAAAATTATAAATGTTACTTATATTAATTTGTATTCCAATAAAAGTGTCAGAGAATAGTTAGTGAAATACAACATCAATCCAGGGCACAAATTGCACACAGTGAAGGAAATTATAGGCTATAGAGCTTTAAAAATACTCACTTGTCCAATCATCTTCAAAGCAATAGAGGAAATGGAAGACCACCATGACCAGAGCATGGAGAGAGATGAGTGCAATATACATCTGGGTTAAAAGAGAAGAAAGAAACACAATGAAGGTCAATTCACAGCATACACTGCAAACAAAGTGGTAACCACTGAGGAATCCCTCTCATCTGCATATGTATGGCATTACAACAGCGACTTCTGCTCATTTCCAATGATACACCCTAAAAAAAGCTAATGAAATGTGTTTTTAACTCCAATCTCAGCATCTTCCAACTTCAGAGGCTAAAATTGGTCTTTGACTGAGTAAGATACCTTGTCACTGTGAACTTACTGTGAAAAGCACAAAGTATTTTTGGTTGTTCTCCCCAACACAGTTATTGACCCAGGGGCAGTGGTGGTCCATCTTCCGTATACAGCGTTTGCAAACACTGTGGGAAAGACAGCAAGTTGCACATAAAGCGGAAAAAGGAATTTATCAAAAATAAAAGGCAAAGTGTGAACTACAACATTAGTAGAAAGGCACAAGATTCTGGCAGGAGCAATATTCTAAGGTTGAAATTTCTGATAACAGTGTGCACTGTACAAATAGACAGCAGCTGTAAACATGGGACTTTACTGGGTGTGTAAATATATAACATTGCAATGAGCATATCACATCCTCTTTGCCCTACCTGCAGTGGTGTGCTCGGTCAGGCTTGATACTGCTGCACTTTGGACATTTGTAGACCACCTGCCCTGGTTTCAACTGAAGGCTTTCTATGTATTCCTTAGTAGCATTCCCTTTTGGTACCGTCCCCTACCAGGAAACATCACCACACTGAAGACTTGAGTGTAAAGTTTGGCTTATTAGTCAAAATAATGAACAATTAAGGCTAAATATACTTTAATATTGACATTTTGAATTGCCTATCTATGCATGCATTCTTGACATTTGTTCAACATTCATTACTGACATGTTCTGTCCAATTGAAGATGATATAAAACAAAATACATTTATTAGACATGCACATCCTCATCCTCATGCAGACCCTAATACTTTCTCTGCATTCAATGTACACGCAAGGACAAAAACAAACTATGATGCCTCATGAGTTGTTTGTGTCATTTGATACCACACAGAGAGCTTTATAAACTCGATTTCTTCTTCTACTGTATTTATGTATCCCAAAAATGTACTCTGAAAAAAGTTCAGCGAGAGACCAGACCACATTTTGAGTTAAAACAAGACAGTTTGTAAACTAATTTTCAAATTGTGTATAGAAACCCTTAAGTCATTATTTTGTCTGTCATTACCAGTTGTTCCACAGATGTAGCACATTCACTGAACTCTCCCTGGTAAAATCATTCCACTACATTAATTGTTTGTTGAGGATGTCTGCGACAGGTACGGAAAGCTGAGTCAGAGTGAGACAGGGGTCGTATGCTCATTCATAACATAATCTTCTGCCTCCTACTTAGAAGTGGAGAATTTACAACTCATAGTAACTTATTAGAATGTTTAACGTAAAATGTATTTAGCACTTATTTGTTCACAAGGTTGGGCAATATGCTAAAGTTTTGCAATAGGCCAGTTTTGATTGACGATATGTCTTTGTGCGGATGTGTGTGTGTGTGTGTGTGTGTGTGTGTGTGTGCTTGTGCATGCCGGTGTCAGCTAATGCATGGAACAGCTTGTTGCAAGAAGAATACAAAATAACCTAGTTGGGATTATTTTGGCTTACATTTTCAGATGCAACCGGCATGCTTAAGGATGTTAGTGAAGTAATTTGTCAACATATCAATATATGGCTACTGAGAAGCTAAAGATAAGTTTAAACTGTAGCAGGTCAGAGACATCTGTGTGTGCATGTCAACACAAGCTGGAGAGAAAAGTGAGCAAGCAGAGTCAGGATGCACTGAATGAAGGGACAAATATATATTTAAAATAATAAGCAATGAGTGTCAGTTTCTTTGTAAATCATTTGACATGACAAATCGTGCAAAAATAACAACTGATGATGGACTCAGCCATTTTAGATAGACGTTATATTAAAGACGTTATATACGTCCAATCGCCCAACCCTAATAGCTCAGAGGGTGAGTAAATTAGATTAACACAGAAACCCTGAACATCTCGTCAAAACAAAAATCTGGCAGTTCAGTAAAGTGTTACTTGACAGATAAAAAGAATCATTGAATACCCAAATGACAAAATTCTTATTTGGGTACAGCCCCAGAAACTACCCCCAAAAAGGCTCAACTTACAGGGTCGGTACACATGGCCCTGAGGTGTGAGGCGAGGGCTAGGAAGGCCAGAGTGTTGAACAGGGTCCCGTTCACAATGCTGTATGTCAGACTCTTGGAGGGCAGCAGCATAACAAACAGCACCACAAACTCAGCATACAACACCAGCAGCCAGGTGATGACCGCGCACACTATGCCGCAGACATCCCAGATGAACCACATGGCAGAGGCAGAGGAGGAAGTGATAACATCTTTGGAAATGGGGATGCACTGCTCAGCCGGTAGGCAGTTGACTCCTGCCCCATCCCCGGCATGCCCACGCCCATGCTCTACGTCCCTGTATCTATGCACTGGGCTCTTCATCCTTCATCTAAACTGCCTGCTGATGCTGCTGCCGGAAACACTGCGTCTTCAGACCCCAGTCACCACATACTGATGGCGAAGAGCAGGAGGGTCCACAATTTGTATCTCTAGAGAATTTCTGAGGGGGAAAAAAATGTATTAATCCACATGCATTGGTTCTATTAAATCTGTGGGATTAAAATTTACTACTGTTGGATGTATTCCAAAACATATACAGACACAAATGACAGATGCTGCAGCACTGACACAACTTATCGCTTTATCTATATATGTATATAAATAATTGTCATCCATTTTGATAATCAATCATTTAAGATTCTGTAGTTTCAGCTTCTCAACTGTGAGAATTTAGTGAATATATTTTGGATTGTAACTGTTGGTTGAATAAGTTATTTAATGACTTAGAAAACTGTGATGGGCAGTTTTTCGATAATTTAATAGGAAATTAGAGCTGCATGTATGAGTAAATCTATTTATTTATTCTTATGTTCTCCCCATGTCTGTGTGGGTCCTCTCTCTGTATTCCGGCGTTCCCACACAGTCCGAAGTTACACAGGTTCATCGGAGACCTAAATTGCCAGTAGGTGTGAAATTGTGTCTGATCGGTTGTAGGTAAAAAAAAAAAACGTGACTGTAAACTATGAACAACTCTTTGTAGATTTGCAGTCCCGAACACATGTACAGCTTGAAGTAATGAATTGCCATAATGTGTACTAATGCTACACCCGTAATGAAATACATATGGCACAGAAGATTTGTGGATGACATGCAGAACAGAACTGAATGTTCCTGTTCTATCAGAAAACATGTCCATGTAAGCTCACAAATTAAACTTTCTCCCATTGAGCACTAATTTTAACAAACCTCAATCATCCCTTCAACTCTAAAGCCATTTTCAGAGATCACCCGCAGGCAAACGGACTTTCTCCACAGTTGCCTTTCACATATTAACCGATTTTATGATATCTGCGGTTTCATAATGTCACAATTTCATAACCATAAAACAATTGTAAACATTACAATATCTAAATATGATGTTCTACCTCTCGCGAGTCCACTGAAACATTAGTTGAGAAGAGGGAACTGACTTAACAGCTTTATTTCCACCAACTGGACAAAGAACTCCATCTGAGGAGTTTGACAGGGAGAGTAGAAATCCTTGTTACTTTAGGTTTCTGACCAGATCTGCAGGAGCGGTTGACACACACCTCTCTGTGTCACTCTCTCTCCCTCTTCCTATTAACCAATTATCAATGTAGCTGAGAGTTTAATTCACCTGAGAGGTAATAGTATAATAAGGACATGAAGAATGTGGCTTTAACCAGGGCAGTTTAACTGTTTACTTTTTCACAAGTAGTCAACACCTTCACAATAAAAGTCCCATACAGATAAACTACTAATGATGACAGGAAACACAAATTCACTGACAAACCTTCCATTATATGGCAGCTAAATAAAAAGAGCTTACATCAATTACTTTTCAAAAGCCAAACGTTACACTACATAAACTAACTGGATATTGTTGATGAAAGTAATAATTATTTCAGCTCATTAGCTATATTATTAGCTATATATTCGCTATATGGTTTGTTGTGTGTCTTTTTCCTTCAATAGCATCAATAATTATGAACAATGTGAAACTGTGGTATTTCCGCTGACAATACTTGTGGCACCAAAATTTAATATTGTGACATCCCTACCTGGGAGTTATTAGAAAATAGCAGAGAAGCAAAGTCATTTGTTGATGATCGCTGAGTAATGCGCCTGGATGCAGTGGAACTGCTCAGAGGGGGTCAGAGGGCACAGTAAAGGTTACTTTTTTTTTTTTTTACTACATGTCTTTTTTATTGATAATATATTATGTCAATATAAAACTTTGTGAAATTACAATAGATTGTGTATCAGTAATTTTTTAACATTTACAGTGGTTTGGAAAGGAGATTTTTTGGACTTTTCGAACGAAACCACTGACTCAATGACACACAATCTGGAGATCACTGAGCGGATACTTTGATGACACCACACAAGCAGTATGGAGGCATGTTCTGTTTTTTTCTGTTGTTTTATTACTTCTGAAGGAGGTCACAATTGATTTAAATCATATTGATTCCGCTGCTATGCTGTTTACCCCTGAGATTCCAGAAGTGTTTTGTGGACTCAAATACTTCACCCACCCCTTCATTGGCATAGTGGTAAGTAGAAAATGAGTGAATTTTCATTTTTCAGTGAACTATCCTTTTAATCCTATAAAACCATATCCGAATGAATTTAATGCAGTATGACCTGCTATGCAACAGAGCTCAAATACATGTATTACTGTTGTCATTTTTGCTATTTAAGCAGCCAGCGTTGTCTTAGCCTAGATAAAATAAGAATTTAGTGGCTATCATTAATTGATTAGACAGTTTTCAGGCCTACATATCCACTGAAACCTAATACACACACACAGTACGTTTTAGCTAATGCTACTTGCTCTACAAACCTGTCAGAGTGAGCATTTTCTAACTTGTTCACATATTCCTGTCAGTATGCTTACTTTCAACTGTGAAGCGAGAGACTACATGGACTGATTAGCTACCTTCACTGGAGATGAATGATCATAATTTCCAGCTGAATCTTATCTGAAAGATGAGCCAGGAATAGCACCCTCCAGCCGATCCCTCTGCAGCTGTTCCGTGATTCCTCCTCAACATGCTGCTCCCGACATTCACAAACAACACCACGTTACATACATATAATATACTGTTGGCAGCCTCGGTAGAGTACGGTTCTCCGCGTATGTTTAACTGGTTGCGCATGGGTAGGTCTAAAACGCATGGTGGTTGTGGGATTCGCGCATGCGTAGAGAAACATCGACCTGCAGAGCCCGACCCGCCTCCTTTTCAGACGTACGCATGCGCCAAGTCTATTGCAGGACACATCGATTTTAAAAGCTTGAATTCATTCAGTTTAATGTAGTTTATTGGTTTGAGTTTCGATTAGGAAATGCTCGAGTTGCAAAAGTATTTTTTTATTCAATGGTTGTTCATGGCCATGCATGTTTATTGGTGGATTTACAAATGACATATGTAACAATATTACAATAAAGGGCACTTTCGCAACAGCTGGTAGCACTCTTGATTTAATCATTTTTCCACCCTATCCTCAAAGTGTTCTTTTTCACTATGTAAAAAATAAAAATAAAAACAATGGGTAGGATAATATACACAATATCAACCTTAACCCCTTCATTGAAGAAAAAGACAGTGTGTTAGAGAAAATTACAATGTCATACAACAGTTTGGGAACCCCTGGTCAAATATTTTTTTTAATACTGTGAATATTGAAGTGAGTAGGATATGAACTGATCTCCAAAAGGCATATAATTAAAAATGAAGTGTATTGTTTTTGTACAAGTTTTTGTACATGTGAGAAGAGACAGCACTGTGCAAATGTTCAGACAGCCCAAGAGATTTTAGCTTTTTTGTTAGTTTGTAATGTGACATGATTAAGAAATAGCAGTAAATGGTAAGAATGAAGGTT